GTGAGCAGCTGCAGCATGAACTCTCTGCATCGCCACCAGTGTTCCTGTTGGAGCAGGAAAGCTTTAATGTGCACAAATAAAGCTCAGTTAGGAAGCTGCAGACGGGCAATTTGAAAGGCATTTTTCTGCACTTCCTGTTGGAGCAGAGCCACTGCAGGGCCGAATGACAGCAGGGCATGACTGAAGGAGAGGAAACTGTTCGTTTTAAAATGTAGGGCATAAAACATCAAACACAAACCTGACTGAAATTCTGACTAATTGCAGAAAACAGATTAAACACCTGAAGATGAAAGTTTACGGCACACAGTCCTCCAGTTCTTCTGTAGAGTTTTTTTTTTTTTTTTTTTTACATTTCTGGCACAGAAAAATGTCTGTTGTATGTTTCCTCTGAAGATTTATGTTGAGTGTATTTCTTTTGGCGTATTCACAAACTGAATGACAGCAGCTGTGAAGCCACAGCATTTTTGTGGCCTTCATTCCTGAAAACAGTTCCTTGTTTCTGAAGCTGAAAGCTTTGCCTTTGAGCAGAACAAATCAGAAGTTTCACTCGTAGATTTGTGTCAAGAAACAAAACATTTCAAATCATTGTGTGCACTGTGGCTGGAGAAGTTACAAAATCAAATGCACAGTGTACAAAAAGTCAATGAAGTCGTCATAAACTGTGTTTATTTATTTATATATACATTTTTTTCAGTTCAGTTTATTTATGTAACACCAGATTTGCAACAATCTCGGGGCGTTGTACAAAAGCATTCACTTATATTTTAAATACCATTTAGTGAAAGTTATCAACAGATGCCAGCAGACCTTCCAACCTCCCATCCTGAGCAGCACACTGACGAGAGTGAAAAGAAAAAAACTCCCTTATAACACGAAAAAACCTCCAGCAAAACCAGAACCAGAACTAGGCTCAGGACGAGCAGCCATCTGCATTGACTGGCTGAGGTTAGAAAAGACAGACCAAAGATGAACATAAACATAAAATGACAGTTACAGGTGTGGTTTCTATGGTCCAGGTGGTTTTTCTACAATCCAGGTTTAGTTTATATTGTCCAGATGTGTTTTCTATTTTCTATGGTCCAGGTCTATTTTCTATGGTACAGGTGTGATTGATATGGTCCAGCTGTAGTTTATATGGTCCAGATGTAGTTTGTATAGTCCAGTTAAAGTTTCTTTGGTCCAGATGGAATTCTATGGTCCAGATGGAGTTTCTATTGTCCAGGTTCTATTTTGTATAGGCTTCACCCTTTAAGGCTGTCGCTGATGGGTTTATCCCGTTATGCGAAGCATCACACCGAAAAAATTTAGTCCATGCCCACCTGCTGTGTGGGCCCCACCCGATCCGTATAAGTTACGTTAAGAGCGGGTAATCGGCTCCCATTTTTCTTCAGCAAGCTAACAACACTGACCTTCGACAAGATGTCCAGCTCCAACACCATCCGCTTGTGTCCATCTTGCAAGACTGGTTACTTGCTTAGCTTTGACCGGCACGACACCTGCGAGGGATGCCTGGGTCCCCGCCACGTCGCCCGCGCTTCCTTCTGCCGCCTCTGTGACGATCTTCCACCGGAGGAAAGGCAGCGGAGAGCAGCCTTGTTTAAGGCTAACATCGAGGACTGCCTGTCCGTGGCGGGAGACTGTTCGCTGGACGACGCGATTGACTTCTTCGACGCCGGCTCTCGGAGCGAATCGGATGGTTCCTCTGGGACTGGTGACGTTAGCAGCAACCCCGATGCTCGCTCCCTCCCGGGGAGCGCAGTGTTGGAACGAGGGGGGCCGAGCGGATGCTCGACCCCTCCGGGCCTTCCCGCCTCAACGGCCACATCGCTCCCTGCCGTCGGCGCACTCCCTTCGGAGTTGCCATGAAGACATGAAGGGACTTTCTGTTCCCTTACCCCCCCCCCCCCCCGCGCAGATCGGATGATCTTGCGGGAAGGTTTAGCTCCACACCGGCTCGCCGTCCTGATCCCATCTGGCCTCGTTTTCCAGCGGTGACGTCGTATTGGAACGAGGCCTCAACCGGTCCTGGTAAACTGAGAGCGCCCGTCTCCACTTTCGCTCCCATCACCAGAGTGGAGGGGTTCACCGAGCTGGGCTTTCCCTCGGTACCCCCCCTTGAGCCAAGCCTTGCGGAAGCTTTCGGAGCGAAGCTGTCCAGGCTGGAGCAGCGTCCTGTCCCTCCTGGGAAACACGACCAGACGGTGACCACGCTCTCCATCCGAGCTCACCAATGTGCTTTTCAGGCAGCCGCAGCTAACAACAACGTGGCGCTGCTAGCATACAGCGTGTCCAAGAGGCTGGAGGCCGCAGATCTGCCTGAGGAGACCAAGAGCTCCCTCTGTAAAGCAGCCGACGCCATCCTCAACATGTGTGCCTCTTCTGCGGTTTGCCTGTCCAGGATTGCAGCGTGGATGACGATGATTCAGCGATCCACCTGGCTTCGTCACTCTCCCTCGCTGCCGGAGAAACTGCGCAGAGACCTGATGGAGGGTCCCATCATGGCGGACGCGCTGTTCGGGAGCAGCTTCAAAGCCATGCTGGCAAACTCCAAACAGTCGGAGGAGGTGTCGGAGACTGTGCGCCACCTCATCAAGCCGCGCAGTTCATCCCGCCCCCCGTCCGCTGGAGAGACCGTCGTGAGCAGAGGCAGAAGCAACGACGTTCCATGGCCGCGGCGTCGTCGTGTCGCTCAGCTCCACTACCAGCCCCGCCCGTCAGAGACCAGCCCTCTTCATCCCGGCAACCAGCAGCTCAGCGTTTCCCCAGAGATCACCCACCGCGTCTCAGCGCTCGGCCGCTCACGGCAGCATAAGCGTGAGACAGCTGAGCGAACCCAGTGACGAGTCTCGCCTCCAGCGAGAGCGGCGCGCGTCCCACCAGAGAAAACGTGTGCTCCCGCGGGGCTCGCAGCCTTCATTCAAACAGCACAGCATTTATCTATAAAGTCGCGCTCTCCGCCTCACAGCGTTCGCACAGCGACGTCGAACGCGTGGCCCCACGGCGTCATCAGCTGTCACACACTTCGCCTCAACACACACTGGCCCACCTGGACATGAAGGTTGGTCCGCGGTCCGAACGCAGCGCACGGGTTCGTTCAGAGCCCTTTCGAGGAAGCATTGCCTTGGGTCACGTGGAAAACATTCCCGCAACACATGACGGCGGTCGAGGCGGTGGACTGAATGACATCCGTACAAAACATGACGCATCACTTAAACGCACGTCCACTCCACGAACGTTACGCGGAGTGGCTAAAAACATGCTCGCCAGACAGATGGATGGCCAGGATGTTATGCAAAGGTTACATGTTACAATTTGCAACCCGACCCCCTCCGTTCGGAGGAGTTTTAGAGATGGTCCTGTCATTACCAGACCGAATCTCATCCCTAAATGCAGAAGTTCAAGAGCTTCTGATAAAATAAGTAATCTCCAGGGTTCCCAACGAAGAGGAAAACACAGGGTTTTACTCACGTTACTTCCTGGTTCCCAAACGGACCGGAGGGATGAGACCGATTTTGGATCTGTCAGCTTTCAACAAGGCGATCATGGACAGACCGTTTCAGATGTTGACAACCAGACAGCTGTTGGACAACATCCAGAGAAACGACTGGTTTGTTTCCGTCGACCTAAAAGATGCTTATTTTCACATACCGATCATCCCAAAACACAGAAAATTCCTGCGTTTCTCCTTTCAAGGGATGAAGTATCAGTACAACAGGCTGCCGTTCTGGTATTCCCTCGCGCCTCGTACGTTCTCAAAGTGTGTGGAGACAGCCCTGCATCCGTTACACAGAGCAGGGATGAGAGTTTTGTTTTACCTGGACAACCTGCTGCTGCTGTCATGCTCCAGACAGGAAGCAGTGATGCAGGCTCAGGTGTTGACATCACACCTGTTAAATCTGGGCTTCACCATAAATTGGAAGAAAAGCTCGATTTTCCCGGCCCAGACAATTGTTTATCTGGGAGTGGAGTTAAATTCAACCACGATGAGGGCTCGTTTATCACAAACAAGAATCAACACTTTAAAAGACCAGCTCCGTCACGTAAGACCTGGCAGAGTGGTAACAGCCGTCTCCATCATGAAGCTGTTAGGAACGATGTCATCAGCTCACACAGTGGTCCCGCTGGGTTTATTACACATGAGACGCCTCTAGAGGTGGTTTGCGCATCTGCGTGTGGACCCAGTAAAACAAAAGAGACGGATGATCACTGTTCCTCCCTCCGTGAGGGCAGACCTCCGACACTGGGGAAACACCCTGGTTCTGTAGGAGGGAGTCCCCGTCAGCAGACCCACGTAACACGTGCCAGTCTTCACGGACTCATCGCTGTCAGGCTGGGGGGGGGGGGGGGCATGACTATCTAAAGCAGTAGGGACGCTGTGGCCCCATCACACATCAGCCCACATAAATGTTTTGGAGTGTCGCACGGTGTTGAACGTGATTCAACACTTTGCTCCTGTGCTACAGAATCAACACGTTTTGATTCACACAGACAACAAGGTTACTGCTGTGTACATAAACCGGCAGGGGGGTGTGCGCTCAGCCCAGATGTTACACATTGCGTGAAAGCTACTGTGTTAGGCTCACCAAAATCTGCTCTCCATCAGAGCAGTTTACATACCTGGTGTTTTGAACAAAGGGGCAGATGTGATGTCCAGTGGCGGTCCATGTCACGGGGACAGGACTCTCCACCCGGACCTGATGACTCAGACGTCGCAGAAATTTGGCAAAGCAGCTGTGGACCTGTTTGCGACACGAGAGAACGCTCAGTGTCAACTATGGTTTTCTCTGAGCCCGCGAGACGAACCACCGCTGGGGGTGGATTCGTTTGCTCACAGCCCATGGCCCAAAACGCTTCTGTACGCATTTCCTCCACCTCCTCTGATTTTACGGTTCCTGAACCGAGTTCAGGAGGAGGGATTGACAGCTCTCCTGGTGGCCCCCGAGCGCGTGAACACACCATGGTTCTCAGCCCTACAACGCCTGTTATCGGGGCGCCCGTGG